ATAAAATCAAAATATTGTTTTTTTCTTAGGAGTTACTCAGCTTTGTAATTCCGTAGATAATTAGTAATTTTCTTTCTCTCCAAATTCCCAAACTCTGGTACCAACCAGGAGTCCATTTGGAGCATCGTGGTGTGTCTGACTCAGTTGGGGATGAGGTGGGTGCTCCTTCCAAGCGCTCATTGCAAAGTCCTGAGCAACTTTAAATGTTTTAAGGGCAATTCTTTCTCTCACCACCAGATGGAGAAGGTACTCCACTGGAGTTCACCACGGCATTTGCTTCATTGACGGTTTTGGCACTTCTTTCTGGACTGGGTGGTTAGTATTTTTCTGGATGCAGAATAGAGAACAACTGATGAGGGACTGTATTTTAACAGTTTATGTAGGAATTAAAGTACATGTTATTACAGGTTCTGGCACCTCTTTGCCCACTTAAACTATCTGGAGAGTTATGTATTTTTAACCCTTAAGAGACTGGTCACATGTCAATACACGTGAGTTTGATTTTTTTTCTTAAGTTAAACTTTGACTTCTTATTTCATGACTTCCAACCCATAACCTGTCTCCCCCTTTCTTTATGGGAACATAATATGAGGTTGATAATTAAGAACAAGAATGGTGGGGTGGGGACCCATAGCTCTGGGTTCAAGTCCAAACTGTTCTACTTGGGCCAGCCGCTTACCCAACCCATCCCTCAGGTTCCTACAAAGTGATATAGCCACTTCACAGAATCTCTGGAAGGTGTGAATGAGGCCATCCTGCTGATGGCCCCCACATGGCACCTATGCTGTGGGTGCTCACAACAGCTTTGTTTAATGTTAGCTGGGAAAAGGCTGGTGAGTGCAATATTTTATATCTCTCTCCAATGCATTAGCATCTCAGACTATGCTAAGTCTTAATTTAGTTATGGCCTCTTTGCTTGCTCTTCGTACCTCCATCCTTTGGATAGGCTAAAGCAGCGGTTCTTAAGGGTGGGGAAGGGGAGAGATATTGTCTCCCCAGGGGACATTTGGTAATGTCTGGAGACATTTATGGTTGCCACAGTTGGGGAGTGGGTATTACTGGCATCTGTGGGGTAGAGCCTAGGGATGTTGGTAAACATCCTACAGTGCATAGGACAGCCCACCAAAACAGAGAATGATCCAGCTCCAAATGTCAGTAGGACCAGGGTTGAGGAACTGGGCTGAATGGTACTCAGTAGAAGAAAAGTTCCCTGTCTTTGGTCTAGTCCATTCAACTTGATTCAATTCCAAATATCTACTCATCTGGACCTCTGCTAGACTTTAGACCAAGGATGAAAAGACACAGACTCGTCTGTGTCTGGGAAGGATCTGGGGTTTTACTCTACTTACAAGCTAATAAGTTAGCCTGTTACTGTTTCATGGATGCTGGCAGAAGATGCAGACTCCTGGGTCAGAGACAAAGGACTTTGTTATTCAGGGCGCAGCAAGCTGAATGTTTAGTGTGTTGGCATGGGCTCCCCTTGTCCTCCAAGTCCCACAGGGGCAATATGGTGGAGACTTGGTGGATGTTAAGCATGCAGTGGGTTTTCATCACTACCAGGAACACTGAGCTTGAAGAATCCACTGCTCTTACAGTTAGTGGTAAGCAAGCCTGCTCTTTGTCTGGGGGAAGACATTACCTCATCCCTCAAGGTCGTAAAGAATCATGTACAAGGCGCAGAGGAGATGCACAGGGTATTTCAGATTGGTAGTGTTTGAGAAGGCTTCATGGAGGAGGAGATATCTCAACTGGGTTTTGAAGAGTGAATAGGGCTTCAACCCATTGACAAGGGGAGGAAAGTTTTCTCTTATCTTCCCGGCAGTAAATTAACTTCCCTCCTGAGCATCTCAGCACAAGTTGTGTGGGGACAGGGAAGACACTCTGGAGAAGTCCTGGCTGAAGAGGTTAACTAATGAGCATATGTGGACTATTGCCTATTGTGTCATGCTATTATAAGCTTTTATCTAACAATAATTTACTATGAGCCGTTCAGCTACACTTTTATTATATAGTTTTATTCCATGCTGCAGCTGTGGGCCCGTACTGACCCATAGGAAGCATTTTCTTTACCACTAATAGACCTTTCTTCAACACATGGTAGCATGTCAGGCTGAGGTTGATGGACTAGAAAGCAGGATCCACTGGATCACCTACAGGAAGAGCTGGGAAGGTGATGAGAGCAAGGAGTGATGAGTCTCATGGGTAAGCATGGGAGCCATTTGGGTAAATACCAGAGCACAGTCTCTTGTCACCCATGATAGTATAAACACACAGTGGCTGTATTCAAAGCATCAGAAGCTGGGCAGGCAGCGTGTAAAAGAGAGCCTAATTATGGAGAATCCTTTGTGATGCCATCACAGCATGGAATATTATACCACAGGGAAAATGATGGGACTAGGCTGTATGCATCCACATGGGTAATCTCAATCTTTTAATCCCAAAGCCAGAAACCATTCTATATACTTCCAGCAGGAAGGGTTTAATATAGGGAATGAAGTCTTACAAAATTATTGGAAGAGATGGGAGCAGCAAAATCCAGGGGTGGGGATGCTCCTCAGAAATCAGGAAGTTGCAGGAAGCCACTATTACTACTGTAGAAGCCCATGTTATTTTGCCACCATCGCAGCCTGAGGAAGAGTGAAACCGGCCTTTGTCCCACCATCCACCTCTCCTTGATAATATCAGGATGGAAACCCTGTGGGCAAGGGATGCTGGGAGCTGTTCTCGGGATTCTACATCCCGTGATAGAGCTGAGAGCAAAGATGGGGGCAGGAATGTGCTGAGTGTCAAGCGACAAGAAGAACATGACATTGAGTGACAAAGCAACTCCCAGAAGATTACATAGAGCAGGATGCCATTTCTATAAAGCACAAAAACTAAACAATGTATTGTTGGGTATTTACACAGTGGGATGCCAGAGTCAGCTTGGACTGGCTTGCAGGACCCAACAGTTAAATTCCCAGGAATTTTGCAAGCCTATTGTTAAACACAGCCAATATTAAAAATTAAATTGTATAAACTTATAATAAAATAAATTACACTTAAGACAATGGTAATACATACTTTAAATTCACCATCTCCTAATTATCTTACTGAATTTTACTCATCTTTGCTTTTGAGGTTATTTATATCTATTGTATCGTATGGTAAAATTCCTATAACTTGGCGTGTTACTACAATCTCATTCCAACTCTGTGTTCAGCGCCATCACCTCGGTAGCCTGAAACGGGCCATGATGGGAGGGTTACGTGAAAGAACTTGGCAAATGCTACAGATCAGGGCTTGATTGTTTGGCTGATTGTCTAGACACAACAAAATGATGGGCAAATGTTAATAATGATTAACAGACTGAACTTAAAAGTTTGTCATGTCTGTGGCCGTTACATTGTGGATAGCATAGAATTTGAGGAAATAGTCTTCCATTGTTTGAAAACTATTATCTGATTCAACAAAGAAATTGCTCACATGATTGATGAAAGAGTGATTTTCTTCCTCGTGTCTTTGTCATTTTGCTTTCTTCTTGTGAATGTAAACAAAAATATCAACTAACATTTGTACTGGGCCTACATCAATTGCAACTGTTCGTTGACTACAATTATGAAAATTTGGCAAAAATCAACAAGAGTTGTTGTTCTGTGAGAATCAATTGACTGTAAAAATTTGCAATAAAGGATATTCTGTATTTTGTTTTTATTTGTAAATTGTGCGCTATACACACTTTGTATCCAAAAAAATTTATAACCAACTTATATAGGGATACGCACACACACATTTAATTTTGGGAGAGTTGGTTGTCAAACACTTACCATCACACCACTGCATCTATATGACAAAGCAAGTGTATGATTAACGACATTCCAGAGAGCTGTTACCTTTGAGTGGGTATCTATCCACACCCCGCTCTGTTTTGTCTTTCTCCCTTCATTTCTATCTACCCAGTCATCTGAGTTCAAAGGTGGGGAGTCATCAAGGAATCTTCCAACCCCTTCGCATTTCACTGATTTTTTCTTCGAAATATGTCATGATATTCATGGTTGCACATGATGGGAACTGTTTCCAGATTTGAACCCAATTGAGAAATGCCTCTTCCCAGTGATTCTGCTCGTATAACACGCAGAGCACAGACTGCAGCAGAGGACACGGTTGCCAGAGAGAGAGCATGGAGGACAGAGGAGCAGAGATTCTGTGTTTTACCCAGGTACTTCAGCAAAGTGACTCGGGGCATTGGTCAATCTAGGGGAAGCCAAGCTCTGCAAAAACAATCAAGAAAGGTATATAATCAATATACAAAGGGGACTTGGGGCAGTTCATGAGGACAGACCAAGAGTTAGGCCCCTGCAAAAAGGAAAGTGACATCCCAGTGTAGATCCTACAGAAACAAGACCAGGATATGCAGGATAGGATAGGCAGAGTCCATGAGGACAGATCCAGAAGGGAGTGCAGGGGCTGCTCTCAGGGTGGGGCCAGTGGAAACTGACACGCAGGGGTGAGGCTGAACCAATATGGGCAGCACTCACCTCGGCCCCCGGGCAGTAGGGGCCTCCCAGCTGTGTCTGGAGACAGGACTTGGGCACCAGGGGCTTCAGCACCTCCTCATAACGCAGATGCTTCTCAATGGAAGCTCCCGGAGGAGGAAATTAGGAAAGAGGGTGGAGCATGGAGAGACGCTGGGGAGTGGTCACTGTGAGGCTGCGGCCTCCCCGGAGACCCCGACCCACAATCCTGCCTGCAAGAGGTGGCTTCTCCATGGAGCTTGTTTCTGAGGCTGCCTTCAGCATCTGTGTCCATAGGACAGTCATAGTTATGTGCAAGGCAGACCCCCTCTCTGCTTGGATGTGCTTTTCTACACCAAGAATAAAGCTCCTAGCTGCCTCCCTTTCCTCCTCCCCACATCTCTCCAGAGCCCTGCCCTTGCTTAGGTGGACTCCTTTCCTCTCTTCGAAGGAGAGAGAAGGGGAGCTCCTTGCTGCACCCATAATGCACTGGGACTCACCCTGTTGTTGGTAGCAGTATCTTGCTAAATATCATTCTCAGAAGTGGAAATCACTAATGCTTAAGTCAACTTCTGGGAGAATGAGTATACATATAATTTAGTTTTCAATTCACTGGGAGGGCTCAATAGTTCTGCCGTTTTCACTGAGTCCTGTATTTAAAAGTCTGTGGTCAATGTTGATCTTTGAGATCTGGACCGGGCAGACCCAACTTTACTGATGTGGTCCAGGTTCTGTAGCCTGAGCTTCGCACAACCTGGTAAGCAGTACATCCTGTTCAGGATGTGGCTCAGCTTCCTCTGATTGTGTTCCAGGTCATAGGTAGATAGATTGCAAGGAAATTAAAGTGTATTTGTAGCTGGTAATTTGGAATTTGGATTGTAAAGACACTAGCCAGTCAAGGCAACCACAATATCTCAGGATGCAAAAGGGCTTGACTCCACTTAGTGGGAAAATGCAAGTTAAAGATGTGGCTTCATGCTTCCTCCCGCAGAGCAAGAAGCCGACCCGTCCTCTGTCCAAGGAGACGGGTTCCAAGTTCATTGTGGCCGACCTTGGGAGGCTGACCATGCCCAGGGTCAGACCGCAGGTGGCCTTGACATTAAAGACCCTATTCTCTTCTGTCCCTTCCTTCTGCCACAGTGTCCCCTGGTGCTTTGAGCTGGAAATACTTGTCCCAGCTCCAGCCCAAAGGAAACTGCCTACTTAGCAGAAGCCCCTGGCTAGTCCTCATTCCCCTAAAACACAAGGATGCTACAACACTTCTCACACTTACTCCCCAATCACACTAGAACATTCCTTAAGGGAAGCATGCCACCTGGTTACTCAACTGTCTGCAATCTCACAGGAGTCATTCATTCTTTTATTTTTTCTCACCTCATCTCATCCCGCCTCGAACAATTATATAATGTTGGGTGGGCATGCACTCTATTAAACAGCTGCTGGGAATTCCCCTTGGGAGCCAGAGGCAGAGCAGGCTGACTTCCGTGTTTCCCTGTGTTTAAGATCGCAAACTACCCTGGCTTCCCTTGGACAGGGACATGGAAGGCCCTATCCCTGTGCCCAGACCAGCACAGCAAGTGAGGCGGGGTGGGAAGGGAGGGCTGCTCCAGAAATAAGGACTACTCGGAGGCGTTTCATTATGGCCCCTTGCCAGGCTGCCAGCTGTATTATTATTTTCTGCTTGCTCAGGCTCCGTCCACTTCTGGTCCTGGAAGGGAAACACTGGCCGATGCTGTAGTACGTTTATCATCTTCAGGCTTTGTGACTAACCACAGGACTGCATGGAACATTCCCTGAAGAAATGGAAGCACCCCGCTGTTAGATCAAAAGGAGCCGTTCCGCAGCTCTTTGTAATTTGGCTGCTGTGCTGAGAGGCTGCTTGGCCTGGGCTGTGGGTGTGGTGGCTCTCATCACATTGCGCCGAAATTCGCTGCACTGTTTGCCCAGCTGGTGTCTGTTTAGAGAGCTATTTAGATTCTCCTGTGGAAAGGAAAGCTTCCCATTCTTGGAGAAACCACAGTGATTAAGTACATATAAGAGAAAAGCATTATGATGACTAATCAGAACAAAATCAATGATTCCCTTTTTGCATTATAAATGATGATGTTTATAGTCAACAGCTTTTAGCAAGAGCCCAAGTGTGACTTTGGGGTGGGGCAGGGGGAGAACCACATAAATGCCACTGAGAACGGGACCTGTCAGTTAAGAAAAGAACTGGAAACAAAGATGGGATCAGGGTGCCCATAGAAAATCTGACCTGGCAAATTCTTAACCTTTGTAATAGAAAATACTATCTGAGGAAACGAGTATTTTTGGTTAGCTTACATGCAGCCATTTGAGGCTACCCAACCTAGTCTCTCTGTCCTGTGGGACGCTTTCCACAAAACCTGACTTGAAGCCTGAGGATCTTGTGTTCCCCTAAATTTCCATGCAGCCGAGAAAGTGGGAAGACACGTCCGTAGGAACCCATCAGTGACAGGGCGCTCACCACCTCATGAGACTGTTCCGGCTTTTGAACAGCTTTAATTGTTGGAAAGGCCTCCCTCACATTTGGTTGGAAATTGTCTCCCTGTCATTTTTATCTATTGGTCTCCATGCTGCCCTTTGGAACTATATGGAAAAATCTAGCTCTCTCCACACTGCGGTTCTTGCAACATTTAAAGATAACGTAGTGTTTGCACTGTGTTATTTATAGTCTCCTGTCTGAATGTCCTCACTGTGTTCTGATTTGAAGGAAGAACACTGGTCACCTGTCTGCCACTTCCTACCAGAGTCCCCTGGTAGTGATCATGGGGGGTCCAAATGTTGCTCATATATGGAGATCTGCCGCCTCCTTTGTTCATGACACAATACTTTTATTAATTAATCCATCCTAAGATCTCAGTTAGTTTTTGTTGGCAGCTGTGTCATACTGCTGGCCTGTGTTTACCTTAAAGTCTGAAGAGCAATCAACCTCCTGTTCCCTTAAATTTCAGTATACCTGGAGGGTTTGGGAAGAAGAAGAAGCAAAAATTTTGACCTAGTTACTGTCAACTTGTTGCTTTTATCAAGGCCTTTGAATGTCGCATTTGATATTAGAATCTTAAGCAAGTGGATATATTACGTTGATATGTGGCTCTGCATATTGTCGCGTATGTGATGTGATAGGATCACACTAAAATTTATGTTCTCTTTTGGGAATGGTGGCTGGAGCTCTGTTAGAGTTTAAAAGGAAGTATATGTGCAGTTGAGGCACAGGGCGTGCACAGGAGCAGTTGAACAAGCGGAAGGTGTTATTCTCAATAAGGAGCTGACCCCACCCCATTGAGAAATTTAAGGACACTTGTAGGCAGTGTTTACAGAGCCACGGGAACTTCCTATGACCGTTTGTAAATATCTTTTGGGTGCCTCGTGCTGATGTTAGGTTCTGGCTTAGCAAAATGCTACCAGGCACAGTCCCAGCCTTCAATGTCAAGGAAAGCCTTTGTATAACTACCTTTGTACCTTACACAGAGCAGACCCTCCAAAATCGTTTGTTGGGTGAGCACATTCATTCAAAAATATATTTGTTATACCTTCCCGAATCAATAGATAGGACCTATGGAGGTACCTGCTTTGAAGTGGACAGAGCCTGTTCAGAACATCTCTCTCTATCTCTGCCATCATTGGACAACTGTCAATCTCATGACCGTTGCAGACTAGAGAATGGCTGACCGAGAGGTGGGAGGCCTGGCCTTGGAGAGTGCAGGAGCAGCTTCGATCTTCCACCTCCCCTGCCCAATCTTTAGCCCAAATCCCAGGAGCCAGAGCAGGTGTCTCCTTTCTTTGAATTTCTTTGCCATTTATAGCTTATATTAAACACTTGGGCATTTACAAATTTAATTAACAAGACTGTTAACTTTTCCCCACGAGTATATTTTGCTTCCCCAGCTAGATGGTCTGATCATTTGTATTCTCCACAGACCTCAGTATGGGATTTTGCCCATCAAAAGGTCAATATAAATAGATGTGGAATTAAACCATGGAGACCTGAGAGGAGTTGGGCTCTCCTTCAGAAGAAAGATCAAGAGAAAAAGGGAAACAGACATTTGGGAAATTCATACTCTGTGCCAGGCACTGTGCTGGGAACTTTATATTTGTTATTTCCTATAATCACTGTAAGACTTTCAACTAAGTATTATTATCCTAACTTTGCAGAATAGGAAACAAAGTCTCAGAGAAGTTAAAAGAACTTATCCAAGTTCCTTCCTGCAGGAACAGCAGTGCAAAGGAGCCTGTCCACCCCACATGAAGGTGCAGAGGGGCTGGAGGTGAAGATACTGTTTGTGGCTGCTGCTGCCATGCGGCCACCTTTGAGTTATAAATCAGGACCATCTCACTGATGAGGAAAGGTAGGAGAAAGGCCAAGCCTGAACGAACAAAGAGGCAAATAAATAAGAAAGGAAAAAGGGACCATGAGGAAGGAGAGAGAGGGAGAGACAGGAAAATTCCAGATTACTTATAGTTCTCCAAGCAGGCAGGACCTCACATCTGCTCAGTAGAGCAAAGTGCTCATCAGTGAAGTAATTTGTAAACCCCTGGGGAGGCACAGCCATGACTTGAGTTTTTATTAGTCCATTTCTCCCTGAAGGAGAGAGTATTCTTAGCTATAGAAGACAAGGACTTTTAATGGTGTTCTAAAGCTCCAAAAAGCTGGATTTCCACAGGATGGAAACAAAAAAACAACCCACCATTTGGGAAAAAGTATTTGCAAGTCATATATCCAACAAAGGGTTAATCTCCATACTATATAAAGAACTCACACAACTCCACAACAAAAAATGAAACAACCCTATCAAAAATGGGCAGGGGACGTGAACAGACATCTCTCCAAAGAAGATATATGGATGGCCAATAGGCACATGAAAAGATGCTCATCATCACTGATCATCAGGGAAGTGCAAATCACTAAGATATCACCTTACACCTATTAGAATGGCAAAAATAACCCAAACAGAAAGTGACAAATGTTGGAGAGGTTGTGGAGAAAAAGGAACCCTCATACACTGCTGGTGGGAATGCAAACTGATGCCGCCACTATGGAAAACAGTATGGAGATTTGTCAAAAAATTAAAAATAGAGATACCATATGACCCAGCCATCCCACTACTGGGGATCTATCCAAAGAACTTGAAATCAGCAATTCCAAAAGTCCCGTGCACCCCTATGTTCATTGCAGCATTATTTACAATAGCCAAGACTTGGAAGCAACCTAAGTGCCCATCAACTGATGATTGGATAAAGAAGATATGGTATATATATGCATACAGACAATGGAATACTACTCAGCCATAAAAAGGATAAAATCGTCCCATTCACAACATGGATGGACCTTGAGGGTATTATGTTAAGTGAAATAAGCCAGATAGAGGAAGACAATCTCTGTATGACTCCACTCATATGTGGAAGATAAACATGTACACAAAGAGAACAGATTAGCGGTTACCAGGGGAAGCGGGCGTTGGGGGTGGGCACAAAGGGTGAAGTGGTGCACCTACAACATGACTGACAAACAATAATGTACAACTGAAATTTCACAAGATTGTAAACTATCATAATCTCAAAACAAATTAAAAAAAAAAGAAAGCTGGATTTCCAATCATTGGACCGTATTTGGAAACTTTACTGCTCAGGTTAGCACTACCTTCTACTATAGCAATAAATAAACCTTGAGATCTCAATGGCTTACACAATAAAGATTTCTTTCTTGCTCATGAAAATTCCAGTGTGGGTTGGGTGTGTCTTTAGGGCAGCTATCCTCCATGCAGTGACTCGGTGATCCAGGCTGCTTCCATTTTGGGAAACCACCATCCCAGCACAGGGCTTTCAGATTGCTGTGGAAACCAGTGTGGGAGAGTCAAGCACCAATTTTAAATGCTTCACCGTGGCAATGCCACAGATCACTTCTACTAACAGCCCATTGGCCAGAACTCGTCACATGGTACAGCCTCACATGACGTCCGACACTTCGTTGGGAAGAGTAAGGGAATGCTTGGGTACTCAATGACTATTCAATGTCTCTGACACATTTCCCTTACTCTCTTCTTCCCAAAACCCTTTTTAAGGCAGATCATTGCTCTTGAGATAGAACACAAAATCCATAAGATAGCTTGTCAGGCCCCTTGCCTTGGCCAGCATGTTGCATTCACGCTGGACATTTTTCAGGTCTTTTGGCTCAACGTGCATTCTCTTCCCTACTGCCTTGAAATACTCTTCTCCATCTGTTTTTTCCTGGCTAACTCCTGTGATTATTTGTATTGAGATTTTAGATATTACCTCCTATGGAAACCTTTCCTGAAGCTCTAAATCTGGGCTACGAGTCCCTTCTTTGAGAATCCAGTTATTTCCACCATTACATTGCACTGTGGAACTTCACTATTTGTTTGTTTATGATGTGTTGGGTAGTGGGCTCTCTGATGCTTGGGTCCATTGCCAGACCAGCCCCTAGAGACAATGGGCAGCTCAGAGAAGATGCCTAATTGGTGTACGTTGGATGGAGGAAGGAAGGGATCCTTCTAAGGCAGAATGTGTCTGATGATACTGTTGTACATTTGATTCTAAAGTTAGTCAGGAAAAGAAAATGCACTAGACGGGCCAAGAAACTTTTGAAAACAAAGATTAATAAGGGGAGCTTCTTAGTTTCCTTGATGTGAAAATGAACTATAAAATTACAGTTATTAAAGACTGAGATGCTGGCCCAGGATTAGACCAAGAGATTAACAAAATAAATAACCGATGTTGCAGTTTTGAGTCCAAATTCTGCAGGGCAGGCCAGGCAGGCTAGAGACTCAGGCAGGGTTGCTATGTTGCAGAATTGTTGCTTGTTCTGAAAACATCTGTCTTTGCTCTTAAAGCCTTCAACTATATGTGGAAAATTGGTATATTGATAAAGGAGGCATTTTAAATCAGTGGAGAAAGGATGAATTATTGAACAAATAATGTTCACACAACTGGTTGTTATTTGATAAAATTAAAAAACAATAAAGTTAAGATTTAAGAAATTAAAAGATTAGAAAAGAAAGTTATATCTCTAACTTATACCATGTACAAAAAGTAAAATTGAAATGATTATAGACGTAAACATAAAAAATTTATGAACTACTAGTAAAAACATAGGAAATATTTCCTTTACGTTGGCAAGGCATTTAAAAAATGTCATCTGACCCAGGATTCATAATGGTTTAAAACAATGGATTTGATAACTACGAAACAAAACTCTTCTAAATAACTAAAAGCAATATAGCACCAATTAAAAGGAACACATGAAACTGGGAGAAATCTTCACAATATGTAATTTGAAAAGCTTAATATCTAAGTACCTACAAATCAGTTAGAAAGCAATTAACAATCCAGTTAAAAATGGGCAAAGGATATGAAAAAGTAATTCATAGAAGAAAAAGTATAAATAGTTTATAGAAAGAAGACATGCTTACCCTTACTGATAATCAAATTAATACAAATTAAAACCATGAAATAGCGTTTCCTCCGTGAGATCCCAATTATTAAGAAGTTGAATTGTACTCAGTTTTTGATGATGGTTTAATATTTTAGAGAAAAATTGACAACATCTATTAAAAAGAAAAAAGTGCCCATATTTTTAACCCTACAGTTATACTTCTTCACCTATAGGAGACTGGTGAAGTGGCTTATGGAATATTATTCACTGTTTAAAGGCATGAGGTATATTTGCTATACATATCTGTATGGAAAATGTCTATAAGAGAGAGATTTAAAAAATAACTTATAGAATAGTATGCAATACGTAATCCCGTTTTGTTAAAAATGTGTGCATATGTTTTATATATGCATGAGAAAAAAGCCTGGAAGGAAATATAGCAAACTGTTAACGGAGGTAACTTCTAAGGAATAGGATTTGGGGAACTTTCATTTCTTATTTTCCATATTTTAGTATTATTATTTTCTTAAATAAATGTGATACTTGTTTATATTACTTAAAAAAAAAAGAGATTCAAAAGACACTGCTTAGTTTATCTTAGCAAAGCTTTGACTAGTTAGATAGGACCTTAGGTACCAAAAAATGCATGTTGTGCCATGCCATTCATTCATTCATTCCTTCGTTTGTTCATTCATTCATCAAGTATGTAGGGACACAATTGTTGTGTGAGGTCTTTTTCCCTATGTGACTCTCACCTATGTAATTTTCTTTGCCATTTTAGTCCAGAAAAGGAATCAGTTGGAAATAGTTAAGAACCTAAAGCAAAGGATGTTTGTGAGGGACCCTGTCGTAAACCCGGCAGGGGGCGCTGTGGCTGGCAACCGAGAGCTGACCAGTTGTTTGCCTGGATGTCTGAGAAAGACCCTTTCTATTTCAATCTGAAAGATTCATGTTGGAAGAGAGGATATTTTTATATAAAAAAAGAAAAACCCCTTCATAGTCATTTTATGGGTTAACGTTGTGTTGGCGGTCTCTACTTCAGAGCTATCAATCTTGTTCCTAGGTAGGCCTTTGGTGGCAATGCAGGGAATTAAATGGACGTGCTCAAGTCATGCACTCCAAAGATAGCTGGATACATGTCAAATCTCATTATAATGAAAGATTAAAATGAACGAGTACGCTTTAAACTTTATCCTGTCTTGGCATTCAAATGCCACATGACTGTTGGTTTACTGAATGCAAAACCAGAATAATGTGACTGCACATTGTCTTGCGTATGTGGTGACAGCAGACTTTGTAGGCATCGCAAATTTGCCCTCATGCCTTCAAATGCAATTTTGTTTTTGCTCCTGTTTTTGGTCTGTATGAAATTATATTGCGTTGTGTCGTTCATTTAACATGAAACTAAAGCGTGCTTTGGTAACCAAGTCTTAGATTTAAATATATGAAATACAAGGATATTATTCTGAAAGATTTTTGGATGGCTTTGAACATATGAAACATAAGTTGTGATTATTCATATCGCAAAATGACACTTAGCAATAAAAATACTCAATGCCATTTCTTTAAAGAGCCATTTTCCTAAGTCAGATAAAATATGATGTAGTCAATTTTTATGCCACTGTAATGAAGTCAGATATAGTATATTTTACAATTAAAATATCCCAAGTCCTTCAAACTCAATTTGAGTCGTGGTAAATATAAATGGGAGAGATCCTTTCCTTTCTTTTCTCTCTATCCTTTCATCTTGTATTTTACCAAATTGTCGTTTCAGACAAGTAAGCTCCTGCCCCTAGCACACATTTAGAATTGCCGTACAGTCAGAGATGTCCATCAGCTGAAGAGGGGGCAAGGCTATACAAAGCTGAAAAGGAGCTTTGGCCATAGTTAGGGACAAATAGAAGTGCACAATTTATGCAGTTTGTCTGGCTAATTAAAGCAAAAACCCACAGTAGTGAACTGTAAGAAGGTGCCCCATGGGATAGAATTTATAATTTAAAACAATTCTGGTTTTTCTCCATTAACTTTATTGGTTAAACAGGTAGACTTCCCGAAAATTTGTGGTTAATCTCTCAGGTTCAATGAATGTATTAAGGAAATGCCAACATCTTAGCTGCTATAAAGATTTCTTTCTTTAAAAAAAAAAAAATCTAAGGACGTAAGTTTGAAAAAGATAAAAAAAGAGTCCACATGATTTTGCAAGTCATTGTACCTTGTGCCTTTCCTGAAATGACCTCTTTATATCCAGCTTATTGACCTTATTGATGTCCAAATGCAAGGCTAGTGTTTAGGGCTTGTGCCAGACTCAGTTTACGTACCCGCCGGATCTGCACCCCCCTCCTGTTTATTGGCTGGAGCAGACCCAACAATGACTTGTGCTGTTCCTGCAGTGTCAAAGTCAGCTTACTGCTGCTGCTAACACCACCGCTGCAGGTCAAGCTGCTCTCAGTGCAGCACTGACTGGCACAAAGAAGTCGCTGCATCTGAAGAGGCTAGGTGATACCTCTTGAAAGTGCGGAGAAATTAAAACCCCATGGGGCCAACTTTGCCCAGTTGGAGACAGCAGATAGGAAAGGGCCGGTCAACGAATTCTTTTATTTCTCCCCATGCCCCAAAACTGTTCTGAGATGTAGTAGTCCCTCCAACCTTCCTGAAGATATCATGTGGGGCTGCGCAATCAGACGGGCTGTTACAAAGCTTTGGCCAACTTGGTACTCTGCACCCTTGCATTTGGGCTCCCTCTCCTCTGCCTCACTGCCCTTCCCCCCAACCCCTCCTTCTCTAGGCTCTCACTTTCTAGTGAACTGTTAGCACATAAACATATGACCCAGGGTCTATTGTCTAGAGAACCTGAGCCAAGAGAGACAGAGACTGTGTTGGCTCTGGAAAGCAGACCCTCTGGTGGGCTTTGGCAGTGGTAAGTGCATGGTGACAACCTCTGGCATATGGTAGCTTCACAGTTACTTTTATCTGAAGTTAATGAGGACAAAGAGGAGGTGGAGATAAAGTATTGAGATATCATCTCATGGTGGCACTTGATCCATCTTGGGGCAATGATAACTATAAGGATTGTGATGTGGGATAATCACTTTTGAAGGCATTGGAAGCCTTGCAAAGAGAAAAATAATAGGTACAACGCAGCTAATTGCTATCGTGAGTCTCTCTCCGAAAGCCAGGGTATTCCTACAGTAGCTTTAAAGGAGGTTCTCATCTCCTAAAGCTGCAGGGCAGAAGATTTTAAAATTAAGATCTGATTATAAGGGTGGCAGAAGTGCAGAAGACTAAATGTACAGCCTTAATGGCTCCTCAATGTCAAAGAAAATTCCCTGATGGGAAAAAAGTGGGACCTTGAGACTTTGGATGGTGACCTTTGCCTGGCTGAGACTGAGAATGTTGGATCCCAAATGGCCTGAAGCTTCCTGTCTGGCAGAAGCTGTCTCCAGCAACTTAAAGAGATCAACCTCCCCTTCCCCGGGGATTACATCATGACCTCACAGACGAGATGCTCCACAGCTGACCATTGTTTTTCTCAAGATCTGTCCCCATCACCCCTCGTTGTCTCCTGGCTAATGACCAGAGTTAGGTCTGAGCACAGCTTCGGTGGGGAAGTACACTCCCTGCTCCAAGAGAAAACAATCTATGTGTCAGAGGACTTATAGGAACTGACAAATGTCTATCAGCAAAGACATGTTGGGGTGGATCTTGAGAGTGTTAGATTGTCATGGTCACCTAGAGCTGGTCTTAAAAGTCTGTTGGAGTGACTCTTTGACATTTACACGGGATCATGGTCTCCAATTGATAAGGCAGAGATGACAGGCTATGAGAAAGGTAAGGCTCAAAGAGTTGGGAATATTAGAATGGATTTGCTACATAAAACCCCACAACTCTCCACTTAACTATGTTTCTTGAAGGAGACTGGAGGACATTTCCTTCTGAAGTCAATAGGAATGCACAGGTTAAGGGCTCACTCATCCTTAAGAGGTCAGCATTTGTCTTCTGTAGGCCGGGGCTAACAGTGACAAACACTGCCACAAAACTGGGCTCCTTAATGTTAACGGGGAAAATGAGATTCCAGAATTATTGGACGGGGTGGCAGTTCTTAGCCCCCAGAGGCAAAGGTGGCCGTAATTATCATCATCAGAAGCACTGCAGAGTAGCAGTTAGAGTGCCCTAACCTCCAGAGATTTGTAGGATTGGCAAATAGATCATGGTGTTCCTAAACAGGAGACAGATGGATGACTAGGATGTTAAAATTGTATAATAATCATAAAAAAGCAAGCAGAAGGCTAACATCAGTCCTTGCAGTGGAAAATTGTGGCCTCTCAGTTTTCAACTATCAGTTTACACATCTAGAATCCATAGATTCTAAATTCATAGGAGATCCCCTCAAAGACAGACACTACTATTTCCTACAAGTGTACATGAAAATTTATTCTTCTAATCCTCTTCTTCAAGAGATCTGTAGATATTTCCCCAGGTAACTAGTGCTAGAGAATGGGGACTCCTATATGCAAAGTCTGAACTGACACTGATACCAGGAGATCTGAAATGCCACATACTGGTCCCAGAGTTAGATCAGCAGCTTTAGGAGGCCAAGTGATGAGCTAAGTTTTACCTAAGTCCTTTTCATAATGGGCCCATTGTTTCCACAAAATTACCCTGTGATTATTTCATAGGTCCCCAAATGCAATAGATATATTTGGGGTTGGCAGAACTCCCAATGGGTTTCCTGGCTTGTAGATTATGGGATACCATGGTAGGAAGGGCCGAGTAAAGCTACCTGAAACTATTCTTCAAGATAGTACATCAGAAATAATATTTCATTCTAGGGGGAATTATAGATATTATTACCACCATCAAAGACATAAAGGAGGCAAGATGGTGGTCCCCATAATATCTCCATTCAATTCACCTATTGTGTCCCTTCAATTACCAGATGAAGTAGGCCACCTTAAACTTATTCAGGTGATAATCTCTTTGAAGCTGTGGTATTGGATGTGCTATATTTACTGGTTAAGATTAACATATGTTCTCAGACTTGTATGTGATTACTGACCTGGCAAATGCTTTCTTCTCAATCCCCATCAACAAGGAAAATCTATAGTGGTTGCCTTCATATGTGAAGAACAGCAGTATACATTCACTGTCTACATGTCTGCAAGGACCTTGCTCATCCTGACATGACACAGAACATCACTATGACCCACCTATTGATGACGTCATGCTACTTGGACTTGCTGATCAGGGAGTGGCAAGTATCACTGATGCCCTAATACAGTGGTTCTCACTCAGGGGATTTTAACTCCCGGGCGACATCTGAAGATGCCTGGAAACATTTTTGGTTGTCACAAATTGGGGATTGTGAGCAGCTGGTATTTGGTAGGTAGAGGCCAGGGATTCTGCTGTATACGCGACAATGCTTAGGACAGCCTCTCATCCTCTGACAAAGAATTATCTGGCCCAAAATTTGAATAGTGCTAAGGTTGAGAAACATGGCCTTAGTGAGACATCTGTGTACCAGAGGTGGGAGATAAACCTTATGAAAATTCAATATCTCTTACATCAGTGAAGCTTCTAGGGGTTCAATAGTCTGGGGATTGCCAGACATTTTTTTTTTAAGTTAAAGGATAAATGTGACATCTTAGGCACTCAAAAATATTTGCTGAATGAGTAAATGAATGAAAGACATACAGGAAGAGTTCCCTGTGCAAAGAGAAGGTTGCTTGAGAGAGAGAGTTTCCCAGAGAAAGGCGGAAGTTTGCTGTGGCCAGCGGCCAGGAGAGGGGGTGGAGGTGAAGGTGGGAGAAGGCTGTGGTTTATATGGTTTACATGCTATTTATTTAGACACCTGCCCACGGAAGGTGGAGGACAAACAAGTGGCTTTCATCAAGGGAGAAACAAGGCCAGGTTTGTATTCTAGAATGATCACTTTATGGCTGGTTAGAGAGGTTGTCCTGAAAGACCATGAGACTGGAGTCAGATAAACTAGCCTGGTCCCTATTTGTAACAGTCCAGTTGGGGAGCGATAAACACCTCTTCTGGGACAGAATGGAAATAGAATAAAGGAAGAAATAAATTCCAGAAAGAGTTGGGAGGAAAAATGATCAGGATTTGGTGACTGAATTGGGAACGTGGGTTGAGAGAGAAGAAGGAGTGGAAGAAAACTCTCAGGTCTCTATGTCTTTGGGTAACTGGAGCACACAGGAGTAAGTCCAGTTTTAAGTGACAGGTCGTGAGTCTTGTTTTGGATATTTGCAATTTAAAGATGCGGGGCGTACAAGAGGAGGTGTGCAGTTGGCCACTGGAAAGGTGCATTTACAGTTAAACCCAACTATCCCACTTCCGTAGGAATTGACCTTCCAGTCAGACCTGGACATGTACAAAATGACTCATGCACCATGCTATTTGTTTCAGTCTTGTTTGAAAAAGCAAAATACTGGAAACAGCAGAAGGGGAAGGGTTAGATAAACTATGGTGCCTCTGTACAATGGACTGCCGTGTAGCTGTACAGAAGAGTAAGGAAGCTCTCAGTGAACTGATTCCGAAAGATCTTTGGGGCACATTGTTAAGTGAAACAACAGAAACAACAAACCAAGGTGCCAAACAGTGTGTGTAGTATGTTCTTACCTGTGTAAGAAAGAATGAAAATAAGAACATATATAAGAAATAAGAACACATAATAAGAAAATACATTTGTATTTACTTGTATATGCATAAAGAAACACAAAGGATATAAGATACTAATCAAAGAAGGGTGCCTTATAAGGCCGGTGAAGAGCGGAGTAGAAGAACCCAGGGTAGGAACAAATCTTCCCAATGAATATCTTTTAGATTTGAAACATGTGAGTGTATTACCTATTCAAAACAATTCAAATGTTGAAAAGGTGATATCCTTACTGATTAGCATTTATCTACATTTGGAAATTTGTTTCTGGCCCTGAAAAGATGTATTTGGCTTATGGATTTATAATATTCCTGTACTTAGCCACCCATCTATCTATCCATACATCCATCCAACATAATTATTCATCTATGGGCTGAGCGCTAGGCTAGCCACAAGGGAAATAATACAGAAAACAGACATCGTTCTTGCCCTCATTCTAGATATAAAAACAGAGATTAGTCAAATCACCCCATAAATACACTAAAATGTCAACTATGCTACAAAAAATGTGAAAAAGGACCTAGGTTATTCTGGGATGGGGTAGTTGAGGCCATGTGAGGGAAGGCTGTCCTGAGGAAGTGGCTTCTGAACTTCAGGAAATGCAGGAGGTAAGAGGTGAAGAGAGGGAGCAAAGGCAGAGAGAAGAGTATTTGTAAAGACTCTGAGGCAAGAAAGAGCACAGTACTTGAAGAACCCGACGAAGGCCAGGATTGCTGCCAAGAAGGGGCCTGAGGAGATGGAGTGGATTTGTTAGAGAGGGAGGGGTACAAACATGCAGGATCTTGTGGGGCATGCTGAGAATGGGAGTCTTTGTAATCAGAGCAAAATTGGAGGCCATTGGTGAGGTTTAGATTACAGTGGAACAATATGATCCCATTTATGTCTTGTGGAGATCACTGGCTGTGCTTTGAGACTTAAGGGGTGTGGATCAAGAGTCGAGTCAAGGAGACTAGTTGGATGACTATCGCCAGAAAGTAGGCAAAAAGTGGCCTTTGTTTGGACCAGGGTGGAAGTTAGGGTTAAGAGAAGTAGATAGATTCAAGAGAAAGTGAAACCAAGAGGTCTTGATGATGGGTTGTACAAAGGGTGAAGGAGAGAATTTGTCCAACATGGATAGGTTTCCAGTGAGTGCAACTGAATAGATGGGGCTGAGATTTCCTGAAAGAAAACATCAGGGCAGAGTGTTTGCTGGAAGACACATACAATTTGAGGATTCTTGGACTTCCTCGTGGATGACTAATGACCTGGAAAGGCAACACACTGATTATATCACGATTTCATTTTTAGAACACATACTATAACTACACATTGGTTAACAGTATCAATGAAATGTTGCTTACCCATGAGTCTCATGTTCTTTATTTTTCTGTATACCATATTAGTTCTTGACAAAGTATTTCTCCACTCATGTCTTTCCGAAAACACATACCGTGTATTTTGGAGGCATGGGGTTCTATAGGATCCTTTCTCTGTCTACTCATGAAGAGGAAGACTGTTGTTGTTTCGCCCATGAGCCCATCGCTGTCAGCTTTCTCAGGTGGCGTTTTGGATGTGTCAACAACAAAATTGTCTTTTTTCTTCTTGTTCTCCCTGTGAAGGCTTAGCTGTTAATCTTCCTTTGTGTTTCATATTTCATTTCTGTTTTTAAAAGGATGCCCTGTTATTGTTCTTCTCTTGGCTGGATCTGTATTTACAGGGACCTTTCTTCTTTACTTTCTTTCAGCCTTCAGCAGAATGATTTTGGTAACTTGGGACTCCCTTGGGGAATACAGCCATTACACTTTCCGTCCTGCTGTGTGGCAACACTGCTTCTGATGTTTTCACAGGCCCTGGATATGGTAGTGCTGGGGGTTTTGTCTTCCCAACTTTTTAAACATAACACGGATGCTATTTCTGGTATCCATAGAGGGAGCAGTGGGTTCATTGGAAGTATCTCAGGAGGAGCATTTTTTCTATATAGAAAAGAGAGGATGAGAGATTCCTTTAAGTTCCAAAAACTGGCATAAAATTGATTAGTTAAAAAAAAGTGCTATTTGTTCCTGTATAATTTATCTGACCACAGAACCGCATTCAGCAAAGGGCACCATGACCTCTTCGGGGAAATGGAGCAACCTGAACACCTGATTCAAATTTTCTGGCCTGAAGGCAACTCCAGTGAGTGACTTCCAACAGATCCATAACAACAGCCTGTTTTGAAAATGTGTTTGCTCCTAACAGTGCAAGGCCCCTTTTTCAACTAATGAATCCTTTCAATGTTTCTGAACTGGGAGGTAGATGACTTCTGTCTGTGGTGATGTATAGATCGAAGGACAACAGCAGCTCATTAAGGGAGAAGTATCAAGAGAATGAAGAATACAACTTTAACAATGGCGAAAGCGGAGTCTCAAACTGCTGACCTTCAGGTGTATTTTCTTGGGCACTATCATGGCCATGAGAATGGCCTCACATCTCTCATGGCGGGGGCCGTAATTGACCTACAGCCCCAGCTGCTTTGTTCTGAAATCCATCACTTGTTGGCTCTGAGGTCACACTTCCTATGACTGAGCAAGGCGGATCCTGGCAGGTAGGTTTCTGGGAGAGAAGGGACACCTCTGCCTGTGGCTTGAGGCTTCCCCACTGGCCTTGTCAAACTTTCTGTAGAACTGCCCTGTAGTCCAGGAGGCATCTGCTCAAACATCCTTCCTTCCCTTTCTCCTTCCCTCAGGTCAGACCTGCATCACAGTCCAACATTTCTCATAGCTTCCTCCACCTCCTTCCCCATGTTCTCTCATAGGCATTTCTCTTAATAAATTATGTGTACATTTAATTCTTTCTTGGTTTTTGCTTTTCAGAAGACCCAGACAAGGGATACATGCAGTTTCTACTGTCCCACCTCTTCTATGATCTTGTATCCAGCCTGATTCACACATTTGTTACATGTCTGGCCCCTGTAGATGTTTGATTTTACTTTCCAGGTCTTGTGAAGATAGAGAAACAGGGAAGGACTGGCCAATTAGGAAAATATTACTCAAGCGGGAATATGAGGTTAAATTATTTGATTTCTTGAAAATTACCAAATTTGGTTGTCACAATAATTTAATTTATGAATGATGCATCTTTTATTTCTTTAGCAGCTTATTTAAATTTTTTCTATTTTAATTTAGCCTGTGAGTCCATAGAGTATCCTCAAAATTAGAAAGTTGTAGAATTAAAGATGTACTTTGCCTTTTATTAATTTGCATAATTATTGAATGGCCAAATTCTTTCTTGTGTTTGAGAAGCCTTGGGTTATTTCCATTAATCTCTACTTTTCCATAGAAAGAGGTGGATTAAACAATTTTCTTTGAGTATATTGTGCACTTGTAGTATATATTGTCATATGATTGCAATAAATAACCTTTTGAAAAGTTTCCAAACAACAAAAATAATTTCTAAGCTATTATTATTATTTCCGGTGATTATTTTTATAAGAGAATTTTCTCTCTTTTCTCTTTCCTTCCAAAAGAAACTCATTGCTCTCCTTGACTTCTGGTTTAATTGAATCTAAGCTTTGTGGTTGTCGTTGTTGTTAGCAAAAACCATGACCACTTCTCTTTCAAGTTGGAAGAATAG